CTCCCCAAGCTTCCAGAAAAGCAAAATTTGTAAAATGTCATGGGATCGTGAACCACTTAACGTCTATAGTCGGATCACTGAAGCAAGAGGCTTTGAAATCAGAGCTAAGATCCCCCCAATGTAAACAATGAGGAAATGACCACATTTTAAAATATATTGATTAGTTCCACAGCATACAGAAAAGCAAGGGTTTATAAAGGCTTCTCACTCAGAAGCCAGAAGTAAAGTTAGCAAGAAACCATGGCTTCTTGTTTTTAAGTGTCAATGGAACAGCCCAGAGAGAGAAAAGACACTTGGCTCCAGGGACCTAGGAAAGAACTCTGGTGGGATTTCATCAAAATAATCCACCACCCCAAGGCCAGCCTGCATTTGAATGGCTAGTCATCAACTTCACAAACTACAAACAATAAAAAGCAGGAAGAAAAGACTCCCTTTACCGTGTTAGCCATGAGCTATGTGCTTCCTAGGTATCCACCACTGTGGCTCCCAAGCTGTGATCAGACTGGCGGGTCGCCAGAGATCCTTTGCCGGGCGGGGGTGTGTGTGGGGGTGTCGTATCAAGTCAAAACTACTTTAAAAATAATACTAAGACACTATTTGCATGCCCCCTCCCCACCATCTTGACAAGCACAGAGTAAAAGGTATAAAGTGTCAGGCTGCCTGGAAAGAAACACTTCAGATGCCTTAGCGTCCACCACATCAGTGCCACCAAAGGGTCTTTAGCGTCCTTGTACTCTTCCCTGCCCTGTGCTTGTAGTAAGGGGTGAAAGCCAGTTTCACTTCGAAGGTCCCTGATAAGGGACCAGCAGATGGCATAATGGTTATGACGCTGGATTCCCACGGAGTCGAGCTTGGTTTGAGTCTTGAACCTGGTGGCTTCAAACTCACGGTGGGCAAGTGTGTGTGTGCCCAAAATCCTGAGGGGAGACAGGAGAAGGGCTTGCAGCATGGCCATCCTCTCTGAGGGGTGACTTCTCACTTTCTGTCTCTCTGTTGAACACATGCACCCTATAGCAAAAATCTCTCTCTCTAACAACAAAAAGAATATCCCTGATGAAACAGTGATGAATATTAATTTTACTGCACCTTGATTCTTAAGTATTTATCTTTTTGGTACCCCATGATGAAATGGGAAGCAAGCAGCAAGTGTTTCTGCTTTTTACTCAGGCACGAAGGCTCTCTCACAGAAAAAGTATTTGTGACGGTGGCACTGTGAACTGCACAAGATGCTTTTTTCTTAGAATACCATTTTTTTACTGGCAAGTGCAGCTTTGGACAAACTGTGGTTATTAAGAGTTGAGCATTTGGCAGATAAATGATCAAGATGAATGAAGTGAGCCTGTCACTTCTGAGAAAACAGTATTTGTTGCCAATAATAAAACTTAAGCTTTCAAGCAAAAATTAGAATTTTGGAAAACATATCTGTCACCCTGATTTTGACGTTTCTCAATACTGAAGACTTTCCTTCTAAGATTGGTGATGATGCTGTGATTTTTTAAAATAAGGCTTGACAAAATGAGTCAACTTTTAAGAAATCTACATAATTCTGTGAATGAGGATTTTCCAAATGACAAAGGCATGATATTTTGGAAGTTTTACATAGCTGAAATTCAGACTAAGTGCAAGATAAGTATGTTTTAGTGTAACAGAGTACATAACGTTCACTTACGCAACTCTAGACTGAACATTATAACTGACTTAAGACTGTATCACTTAACGAGTCTTAGTGCTGAGTTAAAGAATATCCATATTTGGGACCAGCAAATGGCATAATGGTTACGTCGCTGGACTCCCACATAGATAGTCAAACACAGTTCAAGTCCTGGACGTGGCGGCTTAAAACTCACGCTAGGCACATGTGTGTGCATGTCCCAAATCCTGAAAGGAGAATGAAGGAGAAGGGATTGTAGTGTGGCCATCCCCCCTGGGGGATTTCTCGCTTACTGTCTCTGTCTCTTTGGTGACCACATGCACCCTATAGCAAAAATCACCCTTTTTAAAAAAAAATAAATCCACATTTAACTGAAAGTGACGGCTTAAAACTCACGCTAGGCACATGTGTGTGCATGTCCCAAATCCTGAAAGGAGAATGAAGGAGAAGGGATTGTAGTGTGGCCATCCCCCCTGGGGGATTTCTCGCTTACTGTCTCTGTCTCTTTGGTGACCACATGCACCCTATAGCAAAAATCACCCTTTTTAAAAAAAAATAAATCCACATTTAACTGAAAAGGCTCTTGAAATTCTCTTCCCTTTCTAATTACAAAATTTATATAGCTGAATTTTTGCCATATACTTCAACCAAAATAACTTAATACTACAGATTGAATTCAGAAGCATATTTGAGAATCTGGCTGTCTTCTACAAATCCAGGCATAAAAGAAACTAGTAAACAAAACAACAATAAAAAAAATACCACTATTCTCATTGATTCATTTTGCAAAGTATTTCTCACCAGACAAAAAATGTTAACAGTAATGGTTATCATTTTTCAACGAATACCTTATCATTTTTTCTGTTGAATTTCAAACATGGTAAATATTGACAAATATAACCCAGGTGAACAAAAGTTATTTGGAGATTGCCATACTTTTTTAGAGTATAGATGGGTTGAGACTAAAAAGTCTGAGAACACTGAATTCTCTTAATAATGCCATCAGGCTTGGGGCCAGCATGTGGTGTTGTACTTAAGGCACTGGACTCCCACATGGTCAAGTGGGTTCGAGTACTGGACCCACTGATTTGAAAATCACATCAAGCACACGTGTGTGCATCACGAAAATCCAAAGAGGAGAATGGAGTAGAAGGGACTGTGGCATGGTCATCCCCCAGGGGGTGATTTCTCATAGTCTCTCTGTCTCATTCTATTTCTCCAGTGAGTACACATGCTCTCTAGAAAAATCTCTTTTAAAAAATCCCATCAAGAGTATGAAGAAGTTATTATTCCTATTTTTTGAAGACAATGAGAACCCTGGAGGTGAAGTAGCTGCCCCACCACGGTCATTCAGCAAGTAGGTACCAGAGTGTGAGTTTACATGCTTTTGCTGTCGCCATGTAAGAACATCCTTTCTTAAGCATGGAGACAACTGTCCAGGAGGACAGGCTTTGTGAAGTGAAAAGAACCTGTGTCTAGATAAGCTAATAGTAATAAGAAAACACCAGGTG